CTGCAAGTACCTCTGAGAGAAAGCCGCCCTCGAGTTCCGACCGATGCCAGACAGTTCAGTTTCTCCTGTATCAGTCTGGGTCCCCAGAGACTCGCCCGGAACTGGAATTCAGAGCAGTCAGGAGCTTGAGACTCCCTCCCGATTGAAAAAGACAACCGTGTCCTCAGTTTCCAGCCCTTTCCACATGCGCCGCGTCCTCAGCTGCCAGCCCTTTCCACGTACGCCTCCGTATCTCTGCACTTCCACACCGCACCTCCTCTGAGTCTCAGTGTGCTTTTCTCTTTCCTTCTAGTTGTAGAATTTCCACTCAGCCAGCCTTCCTGTGGTTCTGGATGATGTCCGTTTTGTCTTTTAGTTGTATTTTTGAAGTGGTTGTGTGAGGCAGCAATTTCCGGTATTTACCTATGCTGCCATCTTGGTTTCTCCTATTTCCAATCTTAACATTTGACATAAATATATGGTTATCTTTCATTGTGCCTTTAATTTAAACCACAAGAACTTGAGCTCATATCAGGAACATATACTAAGGAGTATCATGAGAAAACTCAGCATTCATTGTAAAACTTAATAAATTAGACTTCCTTACTCTACGTTTTTTTCTATTTTAACTTCTTAGCACTCAACATTTTTATTTCCTCTGTTATCTCCAAACCAAACCTTCCAGTTTTCCCTGTTCACGTAGGAGAAATTGTTCCTCATCAGGCAATGTTCTCTTGGATAATTACTTGGATTCTTTAGAATTGTTCCTGGTGCTGAGGTCCTTAAGTACAGTCCGCTCCTCAGGGCTCTGTAGGTAGGCTGGGGGGCTGAGGCCCACTAAAGCTTTAAAACACAAAATCTGGCCCTGGCCGGTGTGGCTCAGTGGTTGGGTGTCATGTGCACCAATAGGTTGCTGGTTCGATTCCTGGTCAAGGCAGCTGCATGGGTTTCGGTCTCGATACCCTGTAGGTGCAGGAGGCAGCCAATGGATCTGATGCCTCTCTCGCCTCTCTCTCTTCCTTTCCCTTCCTCTCTCTCTAAAATCAATAAAAAGCATCCTTTTTAAAAACCTGCTATACCTACGCTTTTAATGTCAAGCTTCCTTCTTGCTTCCGGCAGTGGAGACTTAGCTGCTTGCATCCTCTCACCTCTTCCCCCTGTGCCCCCTGGGCCGCCCTTGAGGCGAAGGCGTCACTAAGAGCCATCGAAAGTAAGCAGCGAGGGGAAGGAAAGGAAGAGCGAAAGTAAGCAGCGAGGGGAAGGAAAGGAAGAGCGAGGGACCCCGCGTGTCCTAGGCTTAGTCACCAGCTTAGTTTCCTGCACATTCTCCTGTGTGTGAAATAGGCCTTAAAAGGCAAACCCGTAGCCTTGTCCTAAGGTGGGTGACATCTTAGGGAACATCTTGAGCGTATGCCAATTCTGCATTCGTCTCTGCATGATTTCACTGGCGATAATACCAGGTACACACAGAAAACTGCCCCCAGCAGAGCAAGGTGAGTAGGATATAAAACACATACATACAGCCCATCCGGTGTGGCTCAGTGGTTGAGTATCAACCTATGCAACAGGAGGATGCCCGGTTCAATTCCACATCAGGGCACATGCCTGGGTTGCAGGCTCAGTCCCCAGCAGGGGATGTGCAGGAGGCAACTGATCAATGATTCTCTCTCATCGATATTTCTGCCTCTCTTTCCCTCTCCTTTCCTCTCTCTCTAAAAATCAATAAAAAAAAATTTTTAAAGAATACACACACACACCTGTGCACACACTTCTCGCTCCTCTGCCTCGGGTCCCCAGCTGTGCCGAGAGCCACTCCCACCACTGGTGCTGCCACTCAGGGACCTGCCTCCAACACTCGGTGACTCGGGCTGCAGCCTCCCAGGCTGTTGCTGCGAGCTGGCGTCGGGTCATGATGAAGGAGCAGCTAGGCCCCCTGAACCACGAACACGTGTAAAACTGTGTCGTCTTCATTAGGTTCCTGTCCTTTTTGGTACATCACTGCCAAGGCGATTGTTTGGCCCTAACCCCATTTTTCCCATAAACCCTGTGGCTGGGACATTGCAGTTTTGCACAGCATGGTGATTTTTTTGGAATACGTGTGTTTTGTTATAACTGAATTGATTGAGCTTATCAATTGGTGAGTCCCAGAAAGAATTCTAAAAGGTGTATGTTAGGGCAGTATCTTCCCACGCTCAGAATCCTCCAGCCTCTCAGGTTTTCAGGTGCATGTTCTCATTCACATGTATGTGCACATGTGTGCACACACACTTATAGGCACACACACAGTCACACACACACACACTCAGACACACACAAACTCAGGAGCAGCCTGAGGAGCAAGCCCACCACCTGACATCAGAGTCGCTGTCCGGTTTCCCTCAGATGCAGACAGTTGGCTTCAGCTGCTGTTCATGTTTAGAGTCTGTGCCCTGCAGCCTCCCGAGAACATCAGGGCATCGAAGGGGCTGGAGCAGAGGGAGGCCGCCCGAGGGTGGTTTGTCACCCCCAGGTCTGCCCTCGCCTTGCTGTGTTACTAACGAGCCTTTGTTTCCCTCCTCATGCATCCATAGTCTCTGAGCAGACGTTGCAGTCAGGTACAGTACAGAGAACCACCGACCTAACAGCAACTGTTTCTTTACTTTCCTGAGGGTGATATTGTGAACAAATGCAGCCCTGTCAGTGGAAGCTCCCTTTTCCCCTCAGATTCTGGCAGCACAAATGGACACCTCACTGTAACCTGGGGGAAATTGTAGATTTGAGAAAACAGAGTCTCTTCACTTAGAACGCTCTCTGCCAACCGTAGCGGCTGTCAAACCCAGTTCAATGGAGCTCACCTAGTGTCCTGCCGCTTCATGCTTCATGAACAAGTGTTACTGGTGGGGAGACCCGGTGGGACCTTGGGGGTGGGTTGCAGGGTGCTACCTATGATATTTGTGATGCGCCCCCGTGTTTCTCACTCACAGTGTTTGAAAGGCATTGGCTCCTCCTCACACTGTGGAGGAGACATTCTCCAAGACCCGAACTCGCCTGAACCGAAGTCTGTTGAAAAGCGTCGAGGTTGCCGACCAAGCTGGGAGCGTTGAGCATATAAGACCTAACTGGTTATTTCTTGCCTTCGCTGTTCATAGCAATTTCATGCCTTCGTTTTCTGGTCAGAGTTGGTGATCTTGTCTTTAAACCCAAGTTTGTGGTGAAGGGAACAAAAGCTAAACTCTTGCCAGAAATTTAGTGGAAAAGACACCTTTTCCCCTTCACTCAGATCCCGTGTCACTAGGGCTTGTCTGGCTAGTGGTGCTGAGCGCTTCGAGAGACGTGGGCGTTTTCCTGAAAAGGACGGAGGCCGAGCACACCCCAGCTCTCTGGGCTCGTCCTGAGATGCACTTCCCGGGGACAGTGTGGTGCTGAGGGTGGACATCTGTTTGAGCAGAGACTCGTTTCTTTCTGCACGTGAAGGTTAAGGGCCGGCCGGTGGAGAAAAGCTAGGATTTTTAAAACCCGTTCCATTTATAAACTGACTGTTAGTTCATACAATGTGGCGACACGTTTTTGTTCACACCGCTCATGGTCTGGCTGATGGTTTTCAACAGCAGGTCATGAAGGACTGGTGTTTAGATACAGAAAGGGTGGCAGCAGCTGTTTGCGAAGTAGGAACAATGGCAGTGGCCTCAGTTATACCGACCAGAGTCTGTATTGGGGTCAGCCAGCCTCCAGCACCTAGGCCAGCAGCCAGGACACACCGTCTGCTTTCTCCACCTCCGCACCTCTGCGCAAGCGGTCAGGCCAAGCAGTGAGGGGGCGGAGAACCTGCCCTGGGATCAGAGCCGTACTCACAGGTTATTTCCCTCTTTGGCTCATTCTCTCACCAAACTGCGGTGTCCTGGTTCCACACAATAAATAATAGGATACAACAGTGTCCTGTGGTGAACGGTGAGAATCGTTCTGCTTTTCTTTTCCTTTGACCCATTGCTGCCAGTTAAAGGCATCATCTCTGTTTTAGATGAAGGGCCTCTATGGTTCCATCCACTCTAAGTGCTGAGAAATTAACTTAACCGACAGGAAGTGCGCTTTAGAAGGAAGGAAAATAGGGCAAGAGATCGAGGATTTCAAGTGTATGGGGCATTCATTCATTCACCAATTATTTATTGAGCACTTCCTCTGTACCAGGGGCTTCTAGTCACTAAGATAGTGCAGTAGACCAACATATCTGCCCTCCTGGAGCTTTCATTCTTGTGAAGAGAGACAGACAGTTACAGATCAATAGATAAAACGCGTAGTTTGTGAACGGTGAGAAATGCTATAGAGAAAAAGCAAGGAGTGGATGGAGGAGGTTAGGCACGGAATGTGGATGTTAATGAGGCACCTCCCAACAAAGTGAAGACCTGAATGAAGTGAGGGAGGAGCGTGCAGGCAGTGGAAGCAGCCAGTGCAAAGGCCCTGTGGCAGGAGCGGGCCTGAAACAGCCGGGAGGGCAGTGGCTGAGCAGTGAGTGAACGGGGGAGGGCTAGCAGGTGAGGGCACAGGCAAGGCAAATGGTTCCAGGAAGTTGCTTCCACTCTGAGTGGGATGGGAAGCATTTATCAGCGACTTCATCTCGGCACCTCCTTGTCATCCAGACTTTGTATCTTTGTCAGGGAGCCCTAATTCATCAACCACCTGTTAGTAGCTGGAATCTTAGATGTAAATGTCCTTAAATGTTTTTGTTTGGGGAGAAAGTAAATTTATATTTTTACCAGCCTTTGAATGAAAGTTATATGAAGGTCAATGGCATACTTCTAAAAAATGTCCTGTCTCTAATTTTGTGCCTTACAAAAACAACGTAGCATTTAATTGAAAAGAACCGTTCCTCCGCATGTTGTGTGTTGCTGCAGTAACTTCACCATAGCTTCTCTTATTTTGGTGACCGTGTCTACGCGGTCGACTTTTAAATTGTGTTGGTGGATTGCATCGGGCTGGGCTCTGCTCAGGGCTGCTCTCTGCCTCTGCATGTGCCCACCGTGCTTCGTGCTTGTTTACCGTGATGTTGTACGTTGCGGGCGCCACTTCTCAGCGGTGAAAATCCGTTTTCATCATCGTTTTAATGCAGTTAAAACTCTGTTGTGTTTTGTCTTTGATTAGCCTCTTCTAAAGTTCTGAAGAGCATGTGCGAGAGTTTCTACAAGTATTCAAAGCCCAAGAAGATCCGAGTGTGTGTGGGCACCTGGAATGTGAACGGCGGGAAGCAGTTCCGCAGCATAGCTTTTAAGAACCAGACCCTCACCGACTGGCTTCTTGATGCACCCCGGCTGGCGGGCATCCAGGAGTTTCAAGGTTGGCCTTTTATGCCGTGGGTGTAACTGACAAGTCCCGACTGATTTCTTAACCTGGAAAACAAGGGAGCCCTTCTCACTACGCATGACTTAAAAAGGAAGCTTGGGGTTAGAAATTGGAAGTCCAACATTTTATAGACCAAATCCATCAAAGGCTTCCCTCCTTTTTATTTCTAGGATTTTACTTTCTGAAAAGAACAAAGGACCAGGCCTGTGGTTTTCGAATTTGAATGTGATAAATCTCTCCCAACAGTTACCTCGAATTTGCGGTTTTCTCAGCCGCTTGTTGTCTGAGCCTTTTCTAAGACCCGCTTCCCCTCCAGTGTTGTTCACGTTAGCCTGTTAGAGGGGCTTGTTCCTCTACTGTCCATGGTATGAACTCAAGCAAGAATTCTTTAAAAATAATCTGTGCAAGGCCTTAAGGGTCTCCCAGAACAACAGTCTTAGAGAAGCAGCCCTAGGGCGCCTGAGTCGAAGTAAATTTAAAGTAATGTTGTTCCACGCCTGGGCTTTTGTCTTCAGTTTGAATTTGGTTAAACTGAAAACACAAACGTGGATCTTCATGAGGTCTGGTGATGGTCCCAGTTGTGTGGGGGGCTGCATTTTAATGGTCTTTCTTGAATGGGTGATTGTAGAGAGAAGAAGTAAGCCAACAGACATATTTGCGATCGGGTTTGAGGAGATGGTGGAGCTGAATGCCGGAAACATTGTGAATGCGAGGTAAGCCAGCAGCACCGGCTTCCAGGGGGTGGCGTGGAGGCAGATACGCAGGCCGGCAGTGTCTGTTTGCAGAGATTGAGAGGAAATACGTGACGTCCCTTTAAACTGTGAAAGAGCAGTCCTCAGACTTGGTATCGGATCTTTTCTACACTCTGAAGAATGTTGAAAACCTTAAAGAAGTTTTTACAAATCTCTTTAATATCTGGCTTAAGACAGCTGGCTTCTCACGTTTCCTTTTGCAGGAGTCTGTTGTGGTGTGTTGTTTGGTTGAACTGTATGAAGAAAATTACATAAGTATGTAGTTGGAAATGGAAATATTTTAATGGCCTTTTCCGGTAATTTTTTCTCTGAGACTACACCAAAACTCAACAAATAGAGTAGTTTCTTAAAGTTTAGTGGCAATATGGAATCTGAAACACACAGCAATGAACTTTTTGTGCGAATGTTCATTTTTTATTGGTCTGTCTTTGACTGATGCATGATTTTGAAACATCGCATGTTGTTCACTGAGAAGACGTTGGCTCGCTGAGTTAGGGCGATCTTCACATGTCGGCCGTGCCCTTACACGTTCAGAATACGCGTCGGTGCCATCGTCACTGACCTCAGCAGCAGCTGTGGAGGATCGGGGACTTGTCAAGGTCACAGGAGCAGCCACACGTTTTCCAAAATTCTCACTTTTGCTTAAAAACTCAAATTTTATCATTGGGAGCACATACCGAAGGTTGTTTCCCTTGAAAAGATAGGATTGGTCCAAAAAGGATTTGCTAAATAACCTAAGTCTGAATAACCAGTCTTTCTGGGATTAATTCTTTAAGTACAAATTGTTTTCTATGAAAAAAGTGGCAGTTCATCTCTCAGCTCACACTGTCAGGGGCTTTTCCGAGAAATGACAGCCACTTGTCACAGAGCAGGCAGATGCTTTGTGTGTATCCCCTTTGTCACACAGCCCAAGGGAGGGGCCGGGGCTGCGCTCCAATCAAGTCAGTGTTGGCTGCTGCATCAGGACCGTCTCAGTGAAATGCGCTCTTTAAAGTGCAGTGCAAGGCAGTGAGGAGGGCGCCCACCAGGGGCCCGGCCTGGCTCCGTGCAGGGCGTCGGCACTCAGGCCTTGTTGCTTCTGCCCCGTGACAGCGGACACCCGTGGACACAGTGAGAGGGAAGCAGTGTCTCAGTAGTGCGTGGATATGGCTTCGAGCTCATGGGTTTGGGGACCCCCAGGGATGTTCCCAGACCACACTTTGAGAATTGCTGTTCTGAAGCCTCATTACAAATCAAATTATTTGAGTGAAACCCAGAGCTTAACAGCTTTATTTTAACCAAGTGTGTCTGCTTTTAAAGTTGAGCAATTGCCCATCTTTGATGACTTTTAAAAAGATTTTCAGAATAAACTTGTGAGTGAAATAGTATGGTACGAGAGGGTGGGCCTTGTTTGGACCCTATAAGAAGACAGTGTGGCTCAGTGGTTGAGCATCAACCCATGAACCAAGAGGTCACTGGTTCGATTCCTAGTCAGGGCACATGCCCGGCTTGAGGGCTCCATCCCCAGTAGGGGCGTGCAGGAGGCAGCCAATCGATGATGTTTCTCTCTCATCGATGTTTCTCTCTCTCTCTCTCTCTCAAAAATCAATAAAAAACATTTTTAAAAATTTGAGTACATATATAAACTATCGAGTGTAATTGACAGCTGTCTTACTAAGCAGGCGCCCTTGTCCGTGTCTTTGCTCCGTCCGCAGCACCACGAACCAGAAGCTCTGGGCCGTGGAGCTCCAGAAGACCGTCTCCCGGGACAACAAGTACGTGCTGCTGGCCTCCGAGCAGCTGGTGGGCGTCTGCCTGTTCGTCTTCATCCGCCCGCAGCACGCGCCCTTCATCAGGTTGGTGCCTCCGCCAGCTCCCGCCGCTGCTTGTTTCCCAGTGTCTGAGCAAGGAGTGACCAGGGCACTGGGAAACGGTGCCAGTCACCACCTCGCCCTCCAGTGGCCTCGGGTGCACGCTCCTGTCTTTATGTAACGCCCGCCCCTGATGTCTCGTGCACCGGGACCTGTTGGTGTCGCATCGTTGATTCCGGGTTCTCTGTGTCCCAGGGATGTCGCCGTGGATACTGTGAAGACGGGAATGGGAGGCGCCACTGGCAACAAGGGAGCGGTGGCCATCCGCCTGCTGTTCCACACGACCAGCCTCTGCTTTGTCTGCAGCCACTTCGCCGCAGGGCAGTCCCAGGTCAAGGAACGGAATGAGGACTTCGCGGAGATCGTGCGGAAGCTGAGCTTCCCTATGGTGAGGCCCCGCGCTCTGGAAGGTGGGCAAGGGAGCTGTGCTAAGGTGCCCAGCTCTCGCTCAGCTTCTGAGGATTTCACATAGTGCCTAGAAGTACCAACAGCGCTCACGTGTTCTCACCGCTGGGTGACATGTATGAGTGCAGCGGGGGGGGGGGGCGGCAAAGAAATCGCCCTAAACATTGTGAGTTGCGCTCTGACTGGGAACCCATCTCCTGGCTCTAGGGAAGGATGCTCTTTTCCCACGATTACGTGTTCTGGTGCGGCGACTTCAACTACCGCATCGACCTCCCTAATGAGGAGGTGAAGGAGCTCATCAGGCAGCAGAACTGGGACGCCCTCATCGCAGGAGATCAGCTGATCAGCCAGAAGAACGCCGGGCAGGTGTGTCCCGGGAGGACCGCGCTGAGAAGGGGGCCTTGGCTACGCAGCACGCTTTTCTTAGCCGAGTGCTGCCTTGTCAGTCTCACGGGGTCTCTTTACACCTAATGAATACATAGCTGTAGTCTGACAGGTGCAGACTTACCTTCCCTTTAAAAAAAGAAAAGGAGAGGAAAGGAAAACCCACATTAACTCCCTGGAAGGAAAATATATTGTCTCAATAAGATTAACTTTTAAGTAGAAGAATATACTTTTATTTAGTAATAATGAATTTAGAATCCTTGTCTTCAGGGCTACTGTTTTTTAACTTAAGATCATGTGATAATATGCTTTGTTTTTTTCTCTTATTTCTTATATTATCTGCCTGTTTTAAAATATATTTTTTATTGATTTCAGAGAGGAAGGGAGAGAGAGAGAGAAATAGAAACATCAATGAGGAAAGAGAGTCATTGATTGTCGGCCTCCTGCATGACCCCCACTGGGGATGGAGCCCACAACTCGGGCATGTGTCCTCCTGGTTCATAGGTTGACACTCAACCATTGAGCCACACCAGCTGGGCTCATCTGCCTTTTTGAAACTTATTTCTTAAAATGTGTGGCCACAGCATTTTGGAAGAATTAAGTAAAAGTTCTTTCAAAGTGGAGGCAGTTGTGGCCACTTGCTCTGGTGCCTTCATGGGCAGCAGTCACCAACCGGTGGTCCACGGACCACTGGGGTCCGTGAGGTCCGAAAGGTTGGTGACCGCTGTCCATGGGGGTCAGACCCTCATTCGAGCACTTGGGCACCACTTGCCGTTTGGGGCCCCGGGTCCTCATCTGAGAACAGACATGCGACCAGATGACTTCCAAAGTCCCGACGGGGCGGTGGGCTCCTTAGTGCGAGGTCAGCGGGCGCCCGGGGCCGCGGGTCGGGTTCTTCCCTCGCTTTGTTCCGCGCATCAGACGTGTTTATCCGATGTGCACAGATGTCACGAGAGGCCTCAGTGCTTAGATGTAGTGAATGCTGCCTCAGTGAAAATGTTTTGCTTTGTAAGCAACTTACTTTGTATATAAATAACTTACTTTGTGTATGTTTATTGTAGATTTTTAGAGGATTTTTAGAAGGAAAAGTAACCTTTGCTCCGACATATAAATATGATTTGTTTTCTGAAGACTATGACACCAGCGAAAAGTGCCGCACCCCCGCGTGGACCGACCGCGTCCTCTGGAGGAGGAGGAAGTGGCCTTTTGATCGATCAGGTCGGGGAGTGGCTCCTCATGTCACTGAGTTGGTGCGGGTTCTGGGAGGGAGGGAGGGGGGGGTGTGAGTGTCAGAGGAGGGGCTTCTTACAGACGGTTGTATTTGTTTTTACTTTTCTAATTTTTTGTTTTGTTTGTTTATTTTTCATTCCATCTATTGGGGGGACTGGCTAATGAGTTCATGTAGGTTTCAAGTGTCCGTCTCTATGGTACATGGTCTGTGTGCCACCTGTGTGTCCACCACCCACAGTCATATCTCCCGTCACCATGTTTGGCCCCTTCACCCTTTACGACTTTTTAGCAAAGGTTACCTAGGATAGAATAAATAAAATTTAAATATAAAACAGATTTTAAAAAATATTCTCAGATTTGCCTTTAATAACTTCATGAATTTTTCAGTCTGTCTCAATGACATTATTTCATATAAAGAGAAGCGAGAAAGCACTTGGTGGCATTTTAGTTGGCCGCCAGCTGAGGCACTGACATGTCAGGTGTGTGCACGTGTTGGGAGCTGCGGCTGCTCTGGAATTGCTTGCACAGCGCTGTCTGGGCACAGGCCCTGGAGTAGCCTCAGGTGAAGCCGCCTCTCACATGCTATTAAGTAAACGTCAAGCTGTAACTTCACCACAAGCCTCTCCGACCTGAAGGTGTGTAGACCTGCTGCCTGTCCGAGAGGGTGTCTGCACGGCAGCCTCGGAGGCGGAAGGTGTGAGGAAGGGGCCGGCCTGTCGCTCACGCCCTCTGTTCTCTTGTCTCGCTGCAGCGGAGGACTTGGACCTCCTCAACGCCAGTTTCCAAGATGGAAGCAAAATCCTCTACACGTGGACCCCGGGCACGTTGCTGCACTATGGGCGGGCCGAGCTGAAGACCTCTGACCACAGGTGCCTCGTCTGCGTTCGCCGGGCTCGCCATTGAGGGTGACACGCGTCCTTCCAGAAGCATCCTAACCCTGTCTTCCTCGCGCCTCAGGCCCGTGGTCGCCCTCATAGACATCGACATCTTCGAGGTGGAGGCCGAGGAGAGGCAGAGCGTCTACAGGGAGGTCCTGGCTGAGCAGGGCCCGCCCGACGCCACGGTGCTGGTCTCCGTCCAGAGTGCAGGGCCGGAAAGCAGCTTCTTCAATGACACTTTGATCGACGAGCTTCTGCAGCAGTTCGCGAATTTTGGTGAAGTGGTTCTCATAAGGTGAGAGAACTACTTATCGTTCAAAAGCAGCTCATGGTTCCTGAACCACATGTTCTGTACTAGAAAGGGCCTTACCTAGGGTTTGAATAGTATTGAATGTTGTTATTTTCAAACTGTGGGAGATCCATGCTCTAGAACGTTATTCAGCCTGGCTGGTGTGGCTTAGTGGCTGAGCGTCCACCTATGAACCAGGAGGTGAGGGTTCGATTCCCAGTCAGAACACATGCCTGAGTTGTGAGCTTGAACCCCAGTAGGGGGTGTGCAGCAGGCAGCTGATCAATGATTCTCTCTCATCATTAATATTTTTATCTCTCCCTCTCCCTTCCTCTCTCTGAAATCGATAAAAATATATTTTTAAAATAAAATAAAACATTAGAGTCCTAAGAAGAAAAAAAAAAGTAAGTAAACAGGGAAAGGACTCCTGTCACCAGAAAGACTAAACTGATTCTCACCTTCTGGGCCAGAGCAGGACACCAGCAGCGAGCAACAAGTCTCAACTCCCTTCCGTGTAACCAGGAGGCTCCTGGAAACGTGGATGGCGCAAAGTTAGGTGCACGTAGACACTCATCTCAATCAGGGGAAACTCTAGAAGCTTTTACCCTTGGAGTGAAAAGGAGAAAATACAGCTTCCGGAAGGACCTACATAAATCCCTGGGCATTAGAACCGGAGTCTCTGTTAAAGTGAGACATGTGTGAGGGGCACATTGCTGATCAAGGATCGGACCAAGCATTCGCCCTGCCCCATTGGCCACGGGTGCCTGGAACCGCCATCAGAACAGCGGTTGGGGCGGGGATGGGTCTGAGTGCAGCCACAGGAAGGAGGGCGCGCCCCACCGTCAGCAGGTGAGGTCTTCATGGTACTCGGGTAGGATGACTTCTCCGTCTTTGAAAGGATAGGATCCTGCAGCTTCATAACGTTGGGCCAGAGAAGCTGGGCACATTGAGTGATGGTGGAAATCTGTTCCGGCCTTTGCTTTAAGCTGGCAAAGTAACTGCACACATGTGCTTTTATTTTAGTCTTTTCCTCTTAATGTCTATAATTCATGCTTTTGAATCCTAGTTAAGGGAGACTGTGTGTGTGTGTGTGTGTGTGTGTGTACCTCAATGCACATATGTATGCCATCGAAGTCCCCAGACAGTAAGTGGCTGTCAGTGAGCAAAGACAAGACCATAACCTCAGGCTCCTTGGGGAGGTCCAGGGTCGGCTTAATGAACACCCCGTCTTCTTTCTTGGTCAGAGGACATTGCTCCAGGGCAGTCAGCATACCTCCCGCAGGTCTGTGGGGTCAGGAGACTCTGACTCTGTCCTGTAACTTACTTGCCTTGTAAGGTCACTTGGAGCGAGCTGTTCAGCCTCTGGCCCCTTTCCCTGGTCGGTGAGGTGGCTGAGCGGATGAGCAGGGGTCACAGCTGGCCCTCACCGCAGGCCCGTTGCTTCTGGCCGCCTGTTAGCCGTGTGTGAAAGCCATTTGACGCGGAATCTCGGGGGAAGAGCGTCCCTGCCAGATCACCCGCCTGCTGCTCTCTCCAGTGTTTACTTCCCGGCCTCCGCGGGCCCTTGTTCATCAGTCATCATCAGACGAGTCACGGGGCTAGTTATGTCTGAGGTATTAATTATGTTTTTTTATTGTTCGTTTTTCTCTCTCTTGAAGGTTTGTAGAAGATAAAATGTGGGTTACATTTTTGGAGGGAAGTTCTGCCTTGAGTGTTCTGAGCCTCAGTGGTAAAGAGGTGAGTAGCTTTCGCTGACTCTAAGTTCTTCTGTAATTAAGTGAACAAGGGTTATGCTTTTATACAAATGCAGCAAGATTATCTAAATGAATTTCCAGTTCCAAAGGAGGAAAGACCTTATGGAGAACTTTAATATTTATTACTTAAGACTAGGTGTCTGACTAGTTCAGGATTATTTTGGTCTGTCCCTAAAGATATTAACCATTGATCTAGATTAAGAAGAAACCATGTTTACCATCTAATTTGATTTTAATTATCCTATATAATAAAGAGGCAATATGCAAATTAACCCTCACACCCTCACAAATGGCTGCCTAGGAGGCGGAGCTTTTGATGCTGACTGGCATAGAAACCGACCAGTCAGAACCAAATTTAGGTGAACTGTGAAGGCAGAACCTAAGGTGGGGACTGAGGAGGGGTTTTAAGGGCAACAGCTGTTTGGTGTAAGGTGTAAGAAAGTGGTTCAATTTTTTAATGACCGGTTTGGCAGTATAGTGTATATGGCTGGCTATCAGTCCAGATATAGGGGTTATGTGTTTTTGTCTGCCAAGAGCATCTCCTCCTGCTGAAAAAGGCTTTTCTCCCCATTAAAGCAATCCTATCCTATATAATCTATCTACACTAATAAAAGGGTAATATGCTAATTAGACTGGGTCAACCGGCCATCATCCAGATGTCCGACTTCCTTCCGGTCAAAGCCATGGTGGTGGGGGCCGAGGCAGAGGCAGTGAGGGGCAATCAGGCCAACAGGGGAGAGCAGTTAGGGGTGATCAGGCAGGCAGGCAGAGGGGTTAGGGCCAATCAGGCAGGCAGGCAGAGGCAGTTAGGGGCGATCAGGCAGGCAGGCAGGTGAGCGGTTAGGAGCCAGTGGTCCCAGATTGCGAGAGGGATGCCTGACTGCCAGTAGTCGGACATCTCCCAAGGGGTCTCTGATTGGAGAGGGTGCACGCTGGGCTGAAGGAACGCCCCCCTCCCACCCCCGTGCACGAATTCTGTGCACCGGGTCACTAGTTATATAAAATTTTTTAAATTCTTAAATTTGAATCAGGTATTCTGGCTCATCTATGTAGTAGGAAAGATTTCTATCAAATGAACAAAATGCTTTATTGACAAGAAGGTACTCATGATTCCTAGGAGCTGGTTGGATTGGCTTAGACAGTGGTACCCAGGCCCCTTTTCACGCATAGGGACAATAATGCTCACAGAGAACATAGTCAGTAACATTACAATAGCTGGGCGTGGTGTCAGCTGGGTACTGGACTTATGATCACTTCATCAGGTATATAAATACCTAACCTCTGTGTGGTACACCTGAAACTAACATACTATTGAATGTCAAGTGTAATTAAAAATTAAAACTAATAATTCCCCTAGGTAACAATCCATCCCATTGAGCCAGTTTAGAAATGTTTTAGTTAGTGGGGATGTCACTCCCTGTGATTGACATGTCACGTGGGGGATTTGTGTCCGTGCCTGGAGAGGTTACTGCCACAGAGGGCTGAGTCTCCATTTCTCTCAGTGCTTTTGGACAGACCCTAAGTGTCCGAGTGCATGGTCACTAGGTAGGATGGACGAAAATCCAAGCTTGATTTCTCCAATGGGGGCAGCTTCATACGCATTTCCTGAGCTTCCTTTCGGGTCCATTACTGTTGCTTCCTTGGAGAGAACATTTCCACACATACGTTGCTTTTGCAGTAGGTTTTGTAGGGTCTTGTTTGTTTTCCCAAATGTAATCGTAACATACTCGTGCAACAGTAAGTCAAGAGACCCAGGAAAGCTCTTCGGCTCTGACAGTCCGAAAGCCCAGAAGGAGCAGGAGCTGTTGCTGTCTTGGCCTTGACCCCTGGCGTCAGTCTTCAGCCCCTGCTGTGTGCTGCGCGCTGCGCTCTCCCCAGTGCGTCTGGTGACCGCCGTGTCCTCGCCATCTGGGAACTGCTGACTTTTAAATGTCATTCCAGCTTTTGTCTCTTAAAAACCCCTTTCTCATCCCACGTGATGTTTAAGGGCAGCTCCTATGTCGGCCTTTCTTGTCAACTTTTACCCCCTTTCTGAGTTTTCCTTTTGCCTTTCCCTGACAATTTAATTTTCCCCCCCCCCCCCCCTTCAGCTCTGTCCCTCACCCTCAAGTCTAGTCATCTGTGTTATACTCTTAGAAAGTATCCACACTTAGGTCCCTTACAAGGCTTTCAAAGTTTTGTAAACTATGTTTGTGGAGAGCGTTGTGTGATGATTTATGTTCCTCCTGGGGCTGAGGAACTCCAGTGTGGACAGGAGAAGATTTGCTACTGTCTCTTCTGTGGCTGTTTCACACGGGACAGTTAACATGTGGATCCAAGTCAGAGGAAGCACCATGTTATGCAGCCAGTTGTGGGTGAACTTGCACCCGGTGGGGAGACACTGGCTGCAGCAGAGGACACAGCTCTGTGTCCTGGGAAAAGGCCTCAGCTGTAGCAGCACGTGCTTCTAACAGGAGCGTGGGGGCGTTTGAACTGGTTAAAATCAGTGTGTGGAGCAGTATGCTGCCTTGGTCTGCGTTAAACCTGTGTGAGCAAGGCAGCCACTGTGTTCCACGAGAGTTCATTTCCATGCCAATGAACTGCCGTCTTGTGTCTCTCACTCAACTAGTTACTGGGCCGGACTATAACGATTACTTTGAAAAGTCCCGACTGGATCAAGAATTTGGAAGAAGAAATAAGTTTAGAGAAGATTAACGTCCCGTTGCCTTCGTCGACAAGCTCCACGCTGCTGGGCGAGGACGCGGAGGTGGCGGCAGACTTCGACCTGGAAGGTTTGTTCATGGAACACGCGCTCGCGTGCTTCTAGGCCACAGGGACTGCAGAGACGGAGGGAACTGGCCCTGGAATCGCGAGCAGAGAAACAGACCAAGTGAAGGCCAGAGAGGGCTTCCCTGAAAGGAAAATGTGAAGAAGCCACTGGGAATGTCAGAGCCGAGAGAAAGTGGTGGCTTAGAAGTCAAGGAAGGAAATGGTGACGAGGAGGCAGTGTCAGTGTGTCCTGTGTCGCAGAGGAGGTGCGAAGGTGGCAGCTGGTCCCTGAAGCAAACAGCAGAGGAGCTGGGGCCTTCCTGGGAGCCGGGGGTGGGGGGATGTGGGGGAGCAGGTGCTGGTGCTTGGAAGTGTGGACAGAGGTGGAAGTGTGGATGGAGGTGGGCATGGAGGTGGATGGAGGTGGGCGTGCAGTGTCTGCAGATGCTCTTTTTTAAAAAATATATTTCATTGATTTTTTACAGAGAGGAAGGGAGAGAGATAGTTAGAAACATCGATGAGAGAGAAACATCGCCCAGCTGCCGCCTGCACATCCCCCAGTGGGGATGTGCCCGCAACCAAGGTACATGCCCTTGACCGGAATCGAACCTGGGACCTTACAGTCTGCAGGCCGACGCTCTATCCACTGAGCCAAACCAGTGTCGGCTGCAGATGCTCTTTAAGGATGTTTGGCTCAGCCCTAGCCGGTTTGGCTGCGTGGTTGGTTCGATTCTGGTGAAGGGCACGTACCTCAGTTGCAGGCTTCATCCCCAGCCCAGACCCACTGGAGCGTGTGCAGGAGGCAACCAATTGATGAGTCTTTCTCACATTGATGCTTCTCTCTCTTTCTCTCTCTCTCTCTCTCTCTCTTTCTCTCTCTCTCTCTTCCCCTCCCCCCTCCTCCCTCCCTTCCATTCTCTCTAGAAATCAATGTAAAAAATATCCTCGGGTGAGGATTAAGAAATAAAATAAAAGGAGAGACTGGGAGACTGAGAAGCGGGAGGCGGCGGTCGGAGGCGGTGTGGGGAGTCTGTTATTTCAGAGGGAGTGCGGGGCTGGGAGGGCATGTTTGGAGTAGAGGAGAGTGTCTGTGGGGGAGGAAGGACAAGACCAGGGTATTTAGGTTGGAAGGTTGTCCCGTGGCCTCTGACTCACCCAGGAAGATGTCACTTACAGTCCTGCTCTCTGTCAGTTCGCCCTGCGTGGGCTGGGTGTGGAGGAAAGGTGGGGGTTGGAGACGGCGGCAGCAGGCGAGGTGGAGGATGGGAAGTAAATTCCGATGGCAGAGCCACAGAGAAATAGCCTTTAGTCCATGAAGACTCACGCTCTGGAGCTCGAATGAGGTTGCAAGGGATGCCCTGGCCCCACTTTCCAGCACTGAGGTCAGGATTGAGGAGGCCTGGAGAACCAGTTCAGTTAAAGCAAAGAGAGTCTGAGGGGTGGGGTGGGGGCCCCGGGAGGCTAGTGAGGAGGCTCCGGGAGGTGCGCCTGGGCGGGGCGGGGAGGGGCCATGCCACAGCAGTGGGAGGTGGAGGGACAGCAGTAGATGGTCATCGCCCAGTGGAACGTGGAAGTCCAAGCCAGCCCAGCTCCCAGTCTGGTCCCCACGGCCTGTGGCTCTGAGAGGCGTGTTCTGTCCGAGTGCTTGTGCTGATCTAGTCCCATTACCATAAACTTCTATCCATGCCCACACATAGCCCACGCCTGCGTCCGTGTCAGACAGCAACGCTTCTTTTGTACTTGCCCCCTTAACCCAGGTTGGCGAGCACAGTCTGGAAAGCTAGGCCGCATGACCTGCCCTTGTCTCCCCAGGGGACGTGGACGACTACAGCGCTGAGGTGGAGGAGGCTCTTCCCCAGCACCTGCAGCCGTCCCCGGGCTGCGGCCTCGGCCCCTCCCCCAGCTCTTCCCCGCGGACCAGCCCCTGCCAGTCGCCCACCATAGCGGACGTCCCCCTGCCCTCCCTGCCCATCAGGCCAAGCCGGACCCCGTCCAGGACTCCGGGGCAGCCTCCTCCACAGAGTGTGTATTGTGGTCGGGTTCAGCTGGCCTTCCCCGGCGCCTCGAGCTCCCGGGGAGAGTTGGGGGGGCTGTATTCCTGAGCAGGTGGGCGGAGGCTCGCGTGTAGGAAGGGGAAGCTCTCAGGAGGCGCCCTATGTGGAAACAATGCCAGACTTCGTCTTCATCCCTGTCCCGTGCCTGGCTGGCCCCGTCTTTAACCGATGCCTGTCCCTGTGGTAGTGAGGAGCCTGCTGTTGGCTTAGCACTGCAGCCGCACGTGGCCTCTGTTACCATGTGAAACGGGAAGAGACCAGCAGACGTTTGCATTGAAATTGTAGTCAGTCCTCCAAGGTTGGAAGGTGCGTCTTTGGAATCTGTTTCTATCTCATGAATAATGACTGTCCACGTGACCAGCATCTTCCATGCCATTAGCGCCTCTGGTTTGCCCCTTCCACTCGCTAAGGAAGTTCAAGTTAAGGCCTAGAGAAAAGCCAGCCTCCCTTTTCTTCTCTCTGCTGCTCAGCGGCTGCCAGTAACTCACACAACTGTGCTGTCCTGCCGGGCCGCTGAGTACCGGGCGGCACCTGGGCCTGGTGAGCAGCCACGCGGAGCGAGCATTACTGCCCCCGCGGCACAGCGTGTGACAGGCACAGCTGCTTATGTTACTGACACTAAACGTGCGTGTCATCTGGCGACAGTGCAAATTGAGGAAGTTACAGGACAGAGAGTTTACAACACGGAGGCCGGAGGCACCGTCCCTCGCCTCACACCCCTTGCACCCTGCTCTCCTCTCCCCAGGTGCTTTTCCCGGTTCTCCCGTGGACGCTCCGTCAGCCGCGCAGCCTCAGAAGGATGCTCCGCAGGTCCTGGAGCC